TCCAACTTTGCATCGACACCATGTCCACTTGGACAATGTTTATATGTTCCTTTGATTTTCACTCAAGAAAATAAACATTCTGAAATCTTCATAGGATATTTGACTACACTTTTACTATACAATAGAGTAAATAGGCTATGCCTTTACATTCTCTGTGGAGTTGTTCAGCCAAATGATTGCCATTGATTTGTGACATTTTCTATACAATTTTGACTTCTTTGTAGTCTCCTTGGCATCATCAAAAGATAATTGATGGGTTTATACTTCTCCTTTTGTTATAGAGAATGGGTCATCCTAGAGTATGAATTGAATATTTTATACCCACATGTACAGGGACTGGGAAACAAGATGGCATCAAAGTTTCGATTTGCGTTTCGTGGTGAGTTGTACTTCCTCTGTAAACTAATATAAAAGTGTTTAGATCACTAAAATCCCTCCGTAAACTAAAGTAGTGATCTAAACACTCTTATATTAGTTTATAGAGGGAGTACTGAATACTAGGGGCCTGTTTGGGACTGCTCCGCTTCACAAAAGTCGGTTTCGCTCCATTAAATTTACTTTGGAGCAGTTTCATCTAGAAGTTGTAGTACTATTAAGGAGAATGTTTGGCTGCCATCTAGCTCCAGCTTCAAGAATGAGATATTTGGTGGAAAGAATCTGTTTGATTGGTTGAGGGGGGAGAAACGAAGGGGTATCCACTTACTGGTGGCAGTGGTGGGTAATTTCCACCCAACTCCAGCTTCTAGAGTTTTTTGGAGCACCCCCTGAAGAGCTTCATAAAAAACTGAGAGTTGTACACCAGATTCTAGTTTTTTTGCGGAGCGGCATATTATGGAGCTACCCCGTTTGGCTTGTGTTTTCTGGAGCGGAGCTGAATTTGAAGGAGCAGAGTAGTCCCAAACAGGCTCTAGATAAACGATTTTGGTAGCTGCCACAGTGCGTATTAATAAATGGGCTTAACGGGACAAGTTGGTCCAGAATCTACAGAGAGCCGGCCCAGTACATCCATCTCCGTCCTGATCCGTGACGATGCTAGCCAACGGAATTAACAGGGCGTCATCTGACTAGTGGGCCATATGCGAAACAGTGGAAAACCAGAACCTGTTCCGATTCCTGTAGCTGCACTTATCACGAGTTGAACTGACGACACAGATTCCGGGAGCACTACAGCTCGGGCTCACATTAGCATTTTCGTCAAATGTGGTGGTTTCTTGCAATTCACTCCAGACTAACAGTTAATAAGAAAGATGTGGATTTTTCCAGCTTTAGCGTCTCATTCATCTCCCTTTGACTGGGTGGACTCACCGGAAAACGCACTCTGCTCGCCGGAGCAGCTCAAACTCAGGCAGGAAAATAGCACATTAACTGAAGAAAGAACAGAGAACTCACAAGCTCAGTTATTGATCCAGCTCCCTGGTACCTACCACGTTGGAAGCCTTCCTTTTATCTATTTCTCCAGAGTGGGATTGGCTTCAACGTGCCCTCCCCTCCTTTTCAACATGTTAAGAGCATCTCCAACAGCCGGATAATATAGAATCAAAAAAATGCATTGATCATTACATGGAATTCTATTAAGATATTATATGAAAGTCAAATTTATTCCACTCTCATTTGAGAGTGCGAATACAAGGAGGTATTTTGTGTTTGGGAAAGTCCGAAGAAAAAAGATTTTGAATCTGCCTTTTCCTTCTTTCCCTTAAAAAAATAACTCAAGAAAAATCCAATTATTTACTCTACAAGAATGAAATGCTTGTTATGCCTAATATACTTAGTTTAACCTGTATCTATTTTAATTCTGTTCTTTATCCTACTAGTTTTTTCTTTGCCAAATTACCCGAAGCTTATGCTATTTTCAATCCAATCGTGGATATTATGCCTGTTATACCTCTATTCTTTTTTCTATTAGCCTTTGTTTGGCAAGCTGCTGTAAGTTTTCGATGAAATCTTTAGTACTCTGTATGCCAAATTGAATGATGTGTTCATTCCAAAAAAAAATTAAAATGGGTAAAAGCCGAGAAGTTTTATATTTTTATATTATGAACCTTCGATTCTCAAATTTAAATTCTTCTACATTGAATGGGTAGCTACAGCAATAAATTTGGATCAGCCTTTCTACTCCCCTGCACCTAGGTTGAGCAGGTACCTACACAATACCTAACCACCTAACCCTATTTTTGCTATTGATAAGAGTGCTTATTATAAATGAATTCTTGCAATTTTTTTCAAGAATTCATTTTTGCATTTTAGGTATAAAAAAAACCATCCTAGTGGATCCGTGTGGTAAGGAAAAACTGGTAATCTATTCCTTAAAAAAAATCTTGGAGATTATGTAATGCTTACTCTCAAACTTTTTGTTTATACAGTAGTGATATTCTTTGTTTCACTCTTTATCTTTGGATTCTTATCTAATGACCCAGGACGGAATCCTGGACGCGAGGAGTTAAAATTCCGGTTTTTTTTTCTTATTGGATTTGTTTCGTACATTTATCTATGAGAAAATCCGGGGGTCAGAATTCTTTCCAATTCGAAAGTCCCAAATGATCCAAGGGAGCGGAAAGAGAGGGATTCGAACCCTCGGTACAAAAAAATTGTACAACGGATTAGCAATCCGCCGCTTTAGTCCACTCAGCCATCTCTCCACGTTCCAAAGCGAAAGGTTTCCGTGATATGATATAGGCAAGAAATAAGAAATAATGGTTGCAAAAAAACCCCTTTTTTTCTTTCAAAAGTCTATAAAAATTATATTGCCAATTCCATTTTAGTTATATTCTTTTTCCTTAATGTTAATAAAAAAAGAAGAAAATTCTTGTTTTTTCTTTCTAAAAATCGATATTGGCCGAGAGACAATCAAATAGATTTTCTCTTTAGCGGGCATTTCCATATAGGACTTGTTATAATTATAATAAAACAAGCAGGTTATATAAAAAAACGCTTTTTTTGTCGATTATTTATCAAGAAAGCAAAAAGGGTTCTTATCAAATCCACCATAAAATTGGAAAGAAGCATAAAGTAAGTAGACCTGACTCCTTTAATGATGCCTCTATCCGCTATTCTGATATATAAATTCGATGTAGATGAAATTGTATAAGCGAATTTTTTTTATTTCCTTAGACTTAGACCGCGCAAGACAAGAATTTTTCGCTATTTACGATTTCATATTCTTGTTACTAGATGTTCTATAGGAATAAGAAGAAATCGCAACTCCTTTGCGCTACACATAAAATTGGATTTCGAAGGTCCTTTTTTTTTCAGAATCCTCTATTTTAGTTCTTCCACCCATGCAATAGAGAGGGAATGGGAAAAGAAGGGTTACTTTTATTTTCATTTTTCCCTTAAAAGATAGACTTTGAAATAGGAGTCTTGGAATAATGCTGAATTCAAAGGTTTATTTCTTTCTATAGTATAAGAAAGAAAAAAAATTATTTCTATTTCTATATTATAAGAAAAACAAATCGAATCAAATTCATGGATTTACCACGACCTCGATTGTGACTCCATAGATAAAAATGAGAAATTTCTCTCTTCGAGACCATTGAAAAAGGGCATTGAACGAGAAAGAAATCGTCCACAGATGATAAAACTATCATATGCCTTGGAAAGTGATATGAGGTGCTCGGAAATGGTTGAAGTAATTGAATAGGAGGATCACTATGACTATAGCCCTTGGTAGAATTCCTAAAGAAGAAAATGATCTATTTGATACTATGGATGACTGGTTACAAAGGGACCGTTTCGTTTTTGTAGGATGGTCTGGCCTATTGCTCTTTCCTTGTGCTTATTTCGCTTTAGGGGGTTGGTCTGAAATGCAGCGCGCGCCGCTCCAGCAGCGCGCTAAAATGCAGCGCACGCGACTCGCTGGACATTTTGCATATATGGATATTTTGGACAAAAATGAACATGTAAAATTTGACACAAACAAGTTGATGAATAAAAGTTCATGCCCACAAGTCGCCGCGCTAGGGTTTCCGGCGGCGGCGGCTGCGGCGGGGGGGTCGCGGATGTACAGCGGGGTGAGCGGGGCGCCGGTGTGCGCATCCATGGCGGGGGGCAGGGCGTCGGCGCCGGCGCGCGCGGGGCGTAGGACGAGGAGAGGGAGAGAGTGCGGGCGCGAGCGCTCGAGTGTGCCGCGCGCTGTAGCTGGTGCTCCAAATACACCACGCGGATAAGTGTTTTTGACCGCGCGCCCAATCCGTTATCGCGCGCGCGCCGTTTTTGCGCGCCCGCTGGAGCGAGCCGCCGCGTTGCGCGCGCGCTAAAAAGGTCTATTTTGCGGCGCGGCGCTAGTTTAGCGCGGCTGTTGGAGATGCTCTAACAGTGCAACATTTCCACAGAACATGCATTGCTCACACCCATACCACGCACCATCAGCTATAACTTTGCTGATGACTGGGGAAGGAGATGCATAGCCTAGACAGGAATCTTTTCTTTTCTACCATCACAGGAAAAAAAATCTCGAATATGCACGAGTGCGCGATTTCCAAGTTAGATCCCGCACCATCACAGGAAATCATGTTTCTTGTGGAAGGAGTAGAATCGTCTAGCTTCAGGAAAAGAATTGTGCAAGTCGTAGTTAAAAACCTAGTCCACTGATCCATCATACTGAACGGGTAGATCTTCCTCTTTCTATGTTTTTCCATGATTTAAACTTGGGAACTCCTATGGTCACTCCAATTAGATAAGAACCTTTACGCAAATACTTTATATCATTCCATACTGTCACATTCACCAAGAAACCCGTCGAATTCCGAATAGGCAATTTTGATGCCCAAATGCATCCAAAAGCAGGCTTAATATTTGCCAGCAATAGTTAGTCTCTATGCAACAAGGTATGCCAGCAGGCACGAAGACAAACAAGAAAATCACTCTTGGTTTCTCCGGCAATCCATCCCAACAAAGTAAGCCCGTTTAATTATAAATTGTGCGGCCTCACGAGTCACCACCCAAACAAAGCAAAGCTCCATAGCATCAAAGCTAGCACAAAAACATCAGCGACTGATTCAATGGCACTCAACTGCTACACCTTGTTGGCGCTGCTCGCACTCTGGGTTCCCCTGGCCGTTGTGGCCGGCGACCCGGACATCCTGGCCGACTTCATCGTCCCAGCGAGCGCCAACCCGATGAACCTTACCGGCAACTTCTTCACCTACACCGGCTTCCGCCCCACAAGGTCAGTGACGTCTGGTTTCACCTTGAACAAGGCCACCATGATGGAGTTCCCGGCCTTGAACGGCCAAAGCGTGTCCTATGCCACGCTCACATTCTCTCCAGGCTCGGTCAACCCCACACACACACACCCGCGTGCCTCCGAGCTGCTGGTCGTCATCAGCGGCACGCTCTCTGTCGGGTTCATCGACACCGCCAACAGGCTCTACACCCAGGACCTCGCCACGGGCGACATGTTCGTGTTCCCCAAGGGGACGGTGCACTACCAGTTCAACCAAGGGAACAGCACCGCCACGGCGCTCTCCGCATTCGGGAGCGCCACGCCTGGGCTCGTGTCCGTTCCCCTTGCTGTGTTTGATACCGGCATCGACAACACCGTCCTCGCCAAGTCGTTCAAGACTGACGAGGCGACCATCCAGAAGCTCAAGGCTGGCCTGGCTTTCCGGTGCTGTTAACCAATCGCCTGATGCCTGCGTACCATGCAGTGTTCTGAGTTTAAGATTTATATAGTTGCAGACCCCTGCAAAACTGCAACAACCAAATATAGGTAAATAAAAGACAAAGTGGGTGATCTCAACACTGAAAATAAGGTTTATTATATCAGGCAAGCAAACCGATTTAGTACTGTAGTACACAGCACGTCTGTGTCCAGATACATTCTGGACTGGGTTCATGTGAAATGGCAATTGATTTGATATGGAATTGGACTTTAGAAATACAATCGCATTGGCCAAAGAAAAGCAGGTCACCTCTTTTAACCGAAGAAATACCAGTTCATTATAAGCTGACGAAACTTCCAAAGGCTTTGCTCTGACAGTAACTGCAATTTTCAAATAAAAGTGTGTGACAGAAAGATTGCCAAACCAGTGTGTTCTCCCTTCTCTAAGAAGGCAATCCATATAGCAGAGGAGAAATGCAAAACCATCAAGGATCTGGAGTCTGACAATAGTTGCATATATAAGTTATAACTTAGAACTTGGTGTTTTCATCTAAAATTATTGAAACTATCAGGAAAAATGCAGATTGAGATAGGTAGCAATAAAGTGATATATCCAAAATCCCAATTTGTAATATTATGTATGAAGACCTCTATGTGGATGCTAACAAACAACGATCGAAATAGCAAAACTGTAATGTCATGCAAGTTTTGGGCAGGACAGTATGGAGATTTGTAGAATGCAAGTGGATTTCTCTGAGAAGTAAAGCATCTGAGCCCTATAGAAGTTGCATCATGTGGTAAAAAGTACAAACAAAACAGTGAAACTAATTTTGTGGTGCCTATTGCAGGCAAGGCAAGACTCTTGCAAAACTGCAACAACCATATAGCTAAATAGAAGGGCAGGTGGATAATCTGAAGACTGAAAATAAGGTTTATTATATCAGGCAAAGCAAACAGATTTGGTACTGTATTACGCACCCTCTGTCCAGATACATCATCCTCTGGACTTGAGAAATTGAATTGTACTGGCCAAAGAAAAGCAGGAATCCTTTTTTTTACCAAAGAAATATACAGGCTCAGTATAAGCTGATGAGACATATTTTGGATCACAAAGATCAAAGGCTTTGGCCTGGCAATAAGTGCAATTTTCAAATCAAAGTATATGATAGAAAGATTGCCATACCAGGGTCTTCTCCCTTCCATACCAGGGTAATCCATATTGCATAGGAAGGCAAAACCATCAAGGGTCTGGAGTCTGACAGTAGTTGCATAAGTTGTAAACTCGGTGTTTTCATCTACAAAGTTGGAACTATAAAAAAAATGCAGATAGCTAGCAACAGAGTACATCCAAAAGCTCAATTTGTGCTATTAGTACAAAGACCAGTAATGCTGACAAATAACAAATTAACAACCGAAAGAGCAAAGCTGTAATGCCATGCAAGTTCTGGGCAAGAACAATATAAAGATTTGCAAAATGCAGATGGATTTTCAGAAAAGTAGCGTTTGAGTCCACAGCAAGGCAACGCCCATCAAAGAAAGCCAAGTTGCCAGCTGGAGGGCCTCACATCCTGTCCAACATGAGACTGCCGGGAATCGGCTGAAGTGATTGCTCCATAAATTTAGGACCGAACATGAGGGAATGATTTGGGGCGAACGAGCAAAAACAGCTGGCTTGCGATACCCAAAACATCTCTCGGATCCATGGAACTCCATATGCGGCATGAGCAGAGAGAACACGAATTATAAGAAACAGATGTGCAGTAAAGAAGATAGAGAAGTAAGAATCAGGGGCAAACCACAACAAATCCCTGGATCACAACACTTGCTCACCTGAACCTACACCAGCGAAAGCTGACTGCGCATCCATTGCAACCTGCTAAAGAGAGCATCTCCCATGCACAAGGGTCTCTATCGTACAGGGCTATGTTTTCAAAGCGTCCCTAAGGCGACGCCTAGGCGACGCCTAGGCGTCGAAGCGCTCCCCCTCCGCTTTGGAAAATCGACCGCTTTGGGCGCCTAGGCGTCCAAAGCGCCCGCCTAGGCGTCGCCTAGGCGCCAAAGCGCCCCCCCTCCCTAAGGCGGTAAGGCGTCGCCTTAAAAACATAGGTACAGGGAGCTTGAAAAGAAGTATAATTCTAAAATTTGTGCAAAATGACAGATCATTCCGGACAACTACATTCCAAAAGCATTTCACTGGCACATCATATTGATTTCAGCTACGCAATGATAACATTGTGCAAAAATGCAACAGGATTCACTTAGCCGCTTAACATAAACCTCTCGGCTCATTTTGCTGTTTGGTGACTGGTGTATTCTAGATCAAGAAATTAGAAACAAGTAGAAACCAAGCAGCATCAATCAGGACTCAAAAGCTATATAGGCATGAATGCACCTTCACCTACATGATTTTCCAAGCAAGAATCCATGGGAAAAGGCAATGAAGGCAGGTAAAAGAAGAGTATAGCAGTGCAGACATGGGGGAAACCAAAGGATTGATTTAGAAACAAAGAATTCAGGTGAGGGATGTCCCTTTTAATTTGGACTAGTGTGTTACAATTAAAACTAGTGCCCCAAATGCATCTGGGGCAAGATTATTTTCTGGAAGCAGACAATTGATTACACAAATAAATATATTTAAAAATGATATAGTGTAACATCAAATGTAAGGCACAATAGGTCAGATAGGTCCCACTATTCAGCAATATTATTTTCAGGTTCGACACTCATAGCATAATTTATATGACAAATAATTGAAGCGAAAGGGCTTTGGGCAATGAAATATGTATGTGCTCTCATAAAATGTGGCAATAAATAGTGGATACCTGACATAAAGTTCACTACGATCACTTAAGAAATAGCTTTAGTTGCAAACGAACACCATTATGTACTTGAATCTATCAAATACCAAACATTGTTTCTGCCTTTCCATTATCATATTAAACTGGAAAGATGTTTCTGCATGTGCCACTCATGAACCTTGAAATATATGGCCGCCATGCTGTTAATTGAGTTGGAGTACCATAGTCCTTTCACAAGGAAATGTAATACCATTTGAGATGGCATACAAAAATCAAAGGAGTATTTGAAGTGGCATTTAAGTAAGCAACATTCGCAACGGCATGTAAAATGATTTAGGATTTGCAGTGTCACATAAAAAGAATTACGTACATTGAATGAATAATCAGCTTATAATCTCAAGAAAGCAAAATGTACTTGGATCTTCACAAAGAGGTTTACTCAACAACAAAACATAAGCTCTACTTGTCAACCTGCCCAAGAAATTTGACACATAGTAAACCTTAACTGGCATAGAAAATGAAACTGAGCATATGGAGGAAGAACATGGAAGAGGTCATTCACAAACATTACACATCATTATCAGCGGTTGGACAGAAAGCAGCTAACTTTCTGAGGGTAAGCACAGGTTGAAATGAATGCCACTGCCACCTGTTTCTTTTCAAGCATACTCAGGGTTACAAAGTTGCATACAAAAGGAGTTGTTACCATCAACTATGCAGAACGCAATTGTAAGGTAAGTCAACATGAAGACGAAACCTGATTACTTGGAATCAGGTGGCACAGCAACCTAATAACCTAACCTGCCTACTTGACACTTGATACAACCAACAGCAAGAACAACCATCTTGGTGCTGCAGCTCTGTCAACAATGTACTGCAAAAATATGAAGTCAAAGTTAGTGAGAGGTGAAGATGAGATACAATCTCTTTTGAGCACATCTAATTCGACCACGTTTATGATACAAAAGCTAGATGATACTTACAATTTTGATAAGCAATCAACTATTAACCTCATCTTGTTGAGCAAGCTTTTGCTTCACTTTGTTTTTCTAGCCAGGAAATTTTCAGGCACAGATGCTGGATCAAGTTCCCAGTAACCACAGAGTTCATCGCCTTCATTTGTCATGCGATGTGAAGGAATCTGATGTGAGAACATCATCATGTCACTTCTTAATATTTTCACGGCACTTGTAGATTCACCTTTCCTCTCTAGCATGAATACAGTACTAAAACCATCCACTTTTGTGAGATAGGACAATGTTAGAGAGGCAGCAGAAATCTCCAGGACCTCCACAAGATCATATTCACAGCTTTTAAAATTTTCAAAGCTCCAGCCACAATTCCAGTTCTTGTATATAGCCCATACCTGGCCAACACGAGGAAGAATTTCATACTTCTTTCCTTTAGTAACCGGTGCCACTTCCATGATATGAGAGAAGACACTTGTGCAATCATAGTTGTCACTTTGACTGCTAAGTCTGAATATTCCACAGCTAGCAGACAGACCATCTTGCACCAAACGCTTCTCTGTCTCTCCACATGGACAGTACTCAAGCCATCTTATGTGGATTGTTAAGTCATCTTGATCAACTTTCTTTATGAAGGCATAGTACTTTGGGAACTTGTCGATGTCACAATAGAGTGCCCAAATTTGTCCACTCTTGAATTTGTCAAATGACCTTATATCACCAAAGTTGAAAAACTCAGGTTCGGGATACACAAAAGTTGCTGGAGATTCAGATTGAAAGCTATCATCCCATTGGTCAACAGTATGAGCATCAATTACAGAAGCCTCTGAGCCATTATCGTGCTTGCCATCTGCATTGATATTGGGCTTCTTCACTCCATTGTGAACATTACCCTCATTTGTAGCAGCAGTATCCAGTCCCTGTTTGGTCTTACCAGCTGGCATTTCACACTTAAAAGAGTCTCTGGTAGACGAAACATTGCCTCCAATATTACCTTCTTGAGTGCTACTCCTGTTAAGGTCTGCAGACGAAGATGCTTCTTCCAAGTTAGAAGGCATAGATGCAGGATCCAGCTCAAAGGCGCCATTAGGGATATGTGGCTTATCAGCTTCTGACAACCTATGAAAAGGGATGTTGTGTGAAAACCTTAGTGTGTCACCACCAGGAATCAAATATGGTTCTTCCTTGTCTGACCACACAAACAGGCTAACAAAACCTTTAACCTTTACTAAGGGAGCGACATGTGTGCCAACGCCCACAGCAAAGTCTGATTTTATTTCTACAATGTCATATCTGTAGTTCTTATGGTCACTGGAACCTGAACTCGGGTTGAAGTCACATCTCCTAAATAGGGCCCATACTTCGCCTTTCACTGGATAAATCTCATAGCTGTTTCTCTTCTTTCCTTTTGTCCAAGAAACAACATGGGAAAACATTTTTCTATCTTCTGTTAAGATTGTTTTCCCAATTCTGAAACGACCACAAGCAACAGGCATGTCCTTAGAATACCATGCCTTCTCAGCATCATTCAGAGGATCAAACTCTAGCCAACTGAACCACAACATGAAGTTTGGGTGAACCTGCTTAATTCGAGCATAGTACCTTGGCATGGAATCACTGTCATCATAAACAGCCCATATTTGATCAGCTTTGAATTGAGTTGCATTCCTATTTTCCTCAAAGTCATAAAATTCTGGATCTGGATACGAGACATCACCTTCACAAGGAATACTATTGACCACAGAACTAGCAACGCCATCTCTTCCAGAGTTGCGCATTTCCTCTATTTTGCTTGCTCCTTGTTTCTCATCCAAGCCATTGACCACCTCCACATTTTCATTTGGAGTCTTTGTAATTGGAATACTGCATGCTTGTGTGGTGTACACATTACCATCTTCATGTACTATTCCACCATTCTTGTCAGCATTGCTTGAAGAGTATCCTTTCCTTATCCTTTTGGCCACAGGAGAATCATGAATATTATCACTGCCTTTTCTACAACCACCACTGCCATCTTCATTACTGACATTATTTTCCTGCTGGCTTGATCTCTGAGGATTCTGCCCCGTTTGGACTGCACCGTTAGCATCCTTCATTACCCCTTTTCCCATGTTTGCAGGTGAAACTTTATCAGAACTTGCAAGTGGTGACTCAGTTCTGCTTGAACCATTTTCTTTATTAAGTGATGCTCTTGGTACATTCATGTTAGTACATGTCCTGGCATTAGCTGTGACATTACTGTCTGACACTCCCATACTGTTAAGATTACTTGACCCTTCATTAAAACTGGGTTTCTGTGACTGAACTTGCTGATTAACAGGAGAAGTTCGCTGACTAGGAAAATGCTGAGACTGTATTCCCCTTTTCTGCATGTTTGTAGGTGAAAGTTTAGCAGAAGACACAAATGGCAATTCAGTTCTATCTGCACCATCTTTTTCTTTGATTGGTGCACTTGATACCTTTGTGCTTTCTGTGGCCCCTTTACTGTTAGGATCGCCTAGACCCTCAGAGCTCATAACATTTGTTGGTACTGCACTAGGTGGACGCCTCTGACACTGCTGTTGTTGGTTAGCAGTAGCAGTTTGCTGATTAGGACCATCCTGAGATTGCTGCGCAAATGGCAATTCAGTTCTATCTGCACAATTTTGTTTTCTGGATGGTGCTCTTGATACTTTTGTGCTATCTGTGGCTCCTTTATTGTTAGGATCACCTACACCCTCAGAGCTCATAGCATTCTTTGACCCTGCACTGGGTGAACGTCTCTGAGAGTGCTGCTGTTGGTTAGCAGCAGGAGTTTGCTGATTAGGAACATTCTGAGATTGCTGTTGCTGGTGAGCTGGATGAGTCCAACCAGCAAAACTCTGATTGTTTTGTCCCTGTTTAGTAACATGAGCTTGCTGACTAGGAGGGAACTTTTGCGGCTGCGTCCCAAATACACTCCCTGGATATGCTGTGTTCACTCCAGCAGGAACAGATTTCTTGGACAAATCATAGGCAAGGAAAGACCTTGAACAGATTCGGCAGAGGACAAACCTCATAAGCGAGCTACAAGGATACTGGTATTTTGTTCCACAAGTCAAGCAAATAGTCCAGAAACTGGATAATCCACTTGACTTTCCAGCCTGTTGCTGTGGATTCTTCTGGGTTTGTGGAGCACCAAAGTTCTCCTTGTTGTTCGTCTTATGAGCAGGATCAGTTTTCTTTGATGCCCGTGCCCGCTTCTTTGGTACAGGGGCAGAAGTTGCAAAAACTACTTTCCTTTTATTGTCATGGGAAGAACGTTTTACATGGTCTGTCAGTGTCATGTAGGCTTCACCAATTAACTTAAAAGCAGCTTCAGCACCCGCAAATTTGTTCTTATCTGGATGAAGTAAAAGAGCAAGTTTGCGGTACTGTTTTTTAAGTACCATGTCATCTGCAGTTGGTTCTACTTGAAGAATTCCATACCAGTCTGTCTCCCCATTGATCTTAACAGAAGAAGAGCAATGAACTTCACAAACAGCAAGCAGCTGAGAAATATTTTCAAGGCCAGGAAAAAGCTGGTGAGCCTTGAGAGCCATCTTTTTGGCACCAGGAAAGTCTGCTTCATGCAGCTTTCTTTCAGACACATCCTTGGCTCTTGAAGCTTCTTCCTTGTTACATTCCATTGTGGTGAACCGAGGAACAGAAATAGGCACTAAACTTGTGAAGTACTCTAAACAAGAACTCTATAATTCATCTTTATCACAATCCTGCATAAGAATGACAAGACAGTTTAATTACCAACAATATCACTTGGACACAGAATTTCTGCTATGTGAAAGTGTGCAAGAATTTTTTCTAACTTTAGAACTTGGCAACCTTAAGGTGAAAGAAAAAGGTAACACAAAATGTCTTGAGAATGAGCATGTCATAGCCTCATAGGTGATAAGTGTCTAGACTTGTGTAGCATGTCATTGTGTCTCTGAACTTGCGTAAGTATGCCAATAGAGGTGCAAATCATGCTTAAATAGCAATTGATGATCATGTAGTACTTTGAATATATTTAGGCTAAGCTTTACACAAATCGAATGAGGAGCCTGTAAATGTCCAATGACATTGTAAACTTCTTTTTATCCAAATATTAATCATCCAGCTGTTCTAAAGTTTTAGTACATCTTTTACCACAGTGAAAACCCAAAGAACTCCCAAAAAACAAGGGTCAAGACATGGAGGCAACCTCTTTATATAATAAGAGTAAATTACTCTTTAGCTAACCAGACTTGTTCAAGTGTGTCATATAGGTTACTGTTCTCTAAATGTGCACCTCTGGGTCACTAAACTAAATTAAGCGAGTCACTCAACATCACCAACATGCCATGTCATCATTACCACACCACATCAGATGAGTGAGTCAGAGTAGTTATGTGTGGAAGCCCATGTCTGTTCTGCATTCTTAAACTTCCCGTATACCCATATGGCCATATGTGGCCACCACTGAATAAAAACCTGTTCTAATTCCATGATCACCCTATCTCCTTGATTCTAGCCAAATAACCCTCTATTTTCAAAGATCCCTTCCCCATCTCACATCATTTTGTCACTGAGAAACAATCTCTCCCCAAATCCACCATCATCTTAAGTTTTTAACTACAAAAGGTCTAGCATTAGTACCACCAAAACAAAAGAAGAGTGTATCGTACTCTGTTCCTGATTTGTTTCATTACCCATCCATTCCCTACATACATATCGGTTTATTGGAGTGAAATAAGCCAACACAAGTGCCTGACTCGGTCACAGCATTTCGTTGCGCAGCTGAGGGACTTCCTCGCAAGTATCCAGGCAAGAACAGGCACAGCACCCAGAAATCCAAAAGAAACAAAAGCATGCTGAGAGAGAAAGAGGGTGGGAAGCGAGAAACGTACCAGGCATGATGGCAGCAGATGAGGCGGTGACCTGCTGATTCTTGCAGCACGCAGTGGTGGGAAATTTCTGCAAAGGGAACACCAACTGAAATGCTCAAAAAGTATACAACACGCATGTTTCCTTTATGCTCTTCTTGCCTAAAGCAACATGAACTCATGGTAAGTTTCATCACAAACGAGCCAAACAACTACAGCACACAGCATATTGTCATAGGTTGAATAGAAAAAAAACAAGGCATGCAAGGGCACTCCCATGCTCCATACGTAACTATGCCAAGTTGCTGACACACCCATTCAACATGGCATGGCTGTTACGTGCAGTCAACCATTTAATTTAATTTAGTGATCTAGATGTGCAAATTACAAGGATGGTGACATATTTGACACACTTTAATATGCTAAGTAGCCTAGAGTGTAATCTGCTCTTTAATTAAGCTGAGACGCTGACTCGTCTATTGCCAAGATTCCTTCCCCTTCCCACATCAATTTCTTTTCACTGAGAAACAATCGCTCCCAAAATCCACCATCATCTTAACTACAGAAGGTCTATCATTAGTACCACCAAAACAAAAAGAAGAGTGCATGGCCCTCTGTTCCTGATTCGTTTCATTACCCACCCATTCCCTATAGACATCGGTATATTGGAACGAAATAAACCAACATTTGTGCCCAATTCGGTCACAGCATTCGCCGAGCAGGTGAGGGACTTCCTCGCAAGTATCCAGGCAAGAACAGGCATGGCACCAGAAATCCAAAAGAAACAAAAACACCCTAAGAGAGAAAAAGGTTGGACGGAAGCAAGAAACACACCGGGTATGATGGCAGCGGATGAGGCGGTGACCTGCTGATTCTCACAGCACGCAGTGGTGGGAAATTTCTGCAAAAGAAACACCAACTGAAATGCTCAAAAAGTATACAGGCATGCATCTTTCCTTTAAGCTCTTCTCGCCCAAAGCAACATGAACCAATGATAAGTTGCATTCGTGATTAAGCCAAACAACTACAGCACACTGCCTAACTATACCCTGTAGAATACAACTTAGATATCAAATAGTGCTACTCCCTCCAATCCAAATTAATTGACGCAATCTCTACACAATGTAAGTAAGATAATGTATAGAGTTGCGTCAATTAATTCAGATTGGAGGGAGTAAAATAAATCTCAAATTTTAAGCATGTCTTATCAGCTTAGCCCCCTCAGGATTATCCTTCAAGCTCCACCACAGCTAAGTTGCTGGCACACCCATCATGATTTTTATGCGCAGTCACCCATTTAATTTAGTTTAGAGATCTAGATGTGTCCATTAAAAGGATGGCAACATGTTTGACACACTTCAGTATGACTACAAGGGTGGGAACTGAGTAACGCACCAAGCACAATGGTGGCGAATGAGGCGGTGACCTGTCAGTTCTTGCCGTGCGCAGTGGTGGAAAATTTCTGCAAAGGAAACACCAACCGAAATGCTCAAAAAGTATACAGCATTCATCTTTCCTTTAAGCTCTTCTCACCCAACACAAGATGAGCCCATGATTAATCAATTGCATTCATAATTGAGCCAAACAACTAGACATCACACCGTCTAACTATATCCTTTATAATACAACTTAGATATCAGATAATGCTCAAAAATTCTCAAATTTTAAGCATGTCTTGTCAGCTTAGCCCCCTCAACATTCTCATCTGAGCTCCGCCATTGCTCCATACATAAGTAAGCTAATTCGCTGACACACCCATCAAAGGTTATTATGTGCAGCCACCCCTTTAATTAAGTTTAGTGATCCAGATGTGCAAATTAAAAGGATGGTGGCATATTTGACAACTTGTTCAATATGTTAAGTGAGCTAGAGTGTAATCTGCTCTTCAATTTAAGTTGAGAGGCTGACTTCTCTGGTGCCGTGACCCCTGCCCCTTCCAGCACCATCTTTCCACCAGTGAAAAAACATCTCTCCCCAAATCTATCATCATCTTATCACTAGCATAAAATGTCTATCATTAGTACCAGCAAAACAGAGGAGAAGCGCACTGTCCTCTGCTCCTGATTCATTCCACTACCCATCCATCCCATTCCCTACAGACATAGCGATAGATCTGGGCAAAATAAAGCACAGATATCCACGATTCAGTGGCCGCATTTCATCGAGCAGACAAGGGACTTCCTCGAACACATTCAGGTGAGACCAAGCGCGGCACCCAGAAATCCAAAAGCAACAAAAACACACTGAGAGAGAAAAAGGAGATGGCGACAAGGGCGGGAACTGAGAAACGCACCGAGCACGATGGCGGCGGACGAGGCGGTGGCCTGTGAGCTCCTGCCGTGTTCAGTGCCGGGAAATTTCTGCAGAGGAAACACCAACTGAAATGTTCAGAATGTATACGGCATACTACATCTTTCCTTTATGCTCTTCTTCCCAAAGCAAGACGAACGGATGACAAGTTGCGTTCATAATTGAGCCAAATAACTGCAGCAAAGCAGCATATGCTCGTAGGTTGAATAAAAGAAAAAGGAAAAACAAGGCACTGTAAGGGGGCTCCCATGTTTTGAACCCATGGCAGAGCTTCCCTGTGACCAAGGGGGGCTTGGCCCCTGCCTAATCTAGCTTACATATATCCTTAATAATACTACAACTTAGATATCAAATAATGCTCAAATTTTAAGCATGTCTCGTCAGCTTAGCCCCCTCAGCATCCACTACACTGTACTCCCTCTGTTCCTAAGTATAAGCCGTTGGGGGAGTTCAGTTTACACTCCCCCAATGACTTATATTTAGGAACAGAGGGAGTACATAACTACGCTAAGTTGCTGACACACCCATTCAACGTGGCAAGGTTGCTATGTGCAGTCACCCATTTAGTTTAGTTTAGAGATCTAGATGTGCACATTAAGAGGATGGTGACATATTTGACACACTAGTTCAGTATGCCAAGTGGCATAGAGCGTAATCTGCTCTTGAATTCAAGCCGAGAGGGTGACTCCTCTGGTGCCGCGATCCCTGCCTGTTCCCGTACCATTATTCTATTCCCCCGGTGAAAAAACATCTATCCCCAAATCTAACACCCTCTTAATAACTAGTAGTAGTACAAAATGTCTGCCATTAGTGCCAGCAAACACAGAGGAGAAGCGCACTGCCCTCTGCTCCTGACCCCGTTGTTTCCTTACCCACCCATCCCATCCCCTGCGGACACGACGACAGATCGGGGCGGAACAGACCACGGCCGGCCGCCCCCGATTACCGCCGCGGCGTTCCGTCGAGCGGGCGAGGGCCGCCCTCGAACCCGTCCGCGCGCGGAGATCCAGAAGCGGCGCGGACTCGCCGGGAGAGAAACGGGGATGGCCGCGGGAACCGAGGAACGCACCTGGCGGAGGGAGCGGACGGGGCGGTGGCCTGCCGGCTCTCGCGGCGCGCGGTGGCGGGCGCGGCGGAGGGGAGGATCGGGGTCGAGGCCCTGGTCCGTGGGGGAGCTTCGCGCGCCGTCCGGGGGGAGGGGAGGGGAGGGGAGGTGGCGGCAGATGGGTGTGGTGGTTTTGGGGGGACGGAGGCGGGGTGGGGATTTTGGGGGGTGGGAGGAGGGAAAGGGCGCGCGGTTTCCCTCCCTCGCAGCGAAAAAAAACCCGGAGGCATTTCCCTTCCGCGCGCGCTCCCCACTACTACGGGGTGGATCCAAATTCCAAAACAAGATCCATCCCGGAGAGCGGCAACCAAAACCTGGCCAACTGGGCCGACCGCCCCTACGTCTCGCCTTCAGCGAGGCCTACGGAACCCTC